TACAAAACTAACGCACCTTAAGCACAGGACTAACACACCTTAAGCACAAAACTCACGCACATTAAGTACAAAACTCATGCATTTTAAAGTTTCAACAAACAACTCACCTTAAGTACACACTCACGCACATTAAGCACAAAACTCACGCACCTTAGGCACAACACCCACACACCTTAAGTACAAAACTCACGCACATTACATTACACACTCACGCACATTAAGTATAAATCTCAAGCACATTAAGCACAAGACTCACGCACATTGACTACAAATCTCACGCACATTAATCAACCGCACAACCGCACGGGAAGCATTCAACCGCACTGAAACCTTTCGATATATATATATATATATATATATATATATATATATATATATATATATATATATATATATTGTTCCAAATCAGAACTGGTAATTCCGGTTTGTTAAAATAATCAATCGGAATCGGAACTGGACGTATAGTTTCGATTCCGATTAAGTAAAAACAGTATGTGGTTCGATTCGAATCGAACGGTTACGTTGAAATCAAATTGCAGCCATGCCTTCTGCAGAAGATCAGAGTATTATCAATCTTTTACTGTTGGATGCCTTTGGAGATTAGAATAAATATTGGGATATAGATCTTAAATTTGCCTTGATAATTTAATTTAAAAAAAAAAAAAAAACTTTTTGGTGTTTAAAAAATGACCCCAACAAAATTTATTTGATCTCGATCTATGTTATATTTTCTTAGTCAATACTTGGCTTAATTTTGTTCAATTTAACTATTTCATTAAAAATTATTGTTATATTTCAATTTTTGAGCAAATTTAAACGAAAAAATTATTGACATACCACTTATACATTTATAAAAATGTTCAATTATATTAGAATGTAATATATATATATATATATATATATATATATATATATATATATATATATATATATATAGGGACGCACTTAGGTGCGAATAAATGTCCAGGAAGAAAATGCGAACGAATCAGCGCGCGACACGTGTTCAGATCTAATAACTTAAAAAAAAACGCGGTGGCATTTTCGTAAATAATTGAACATCGAAGTGCAAGTAAAATCTCTTATAAGTGCACCTATTTTCACCTACAAGTGCATGTAATTTTGCCTTGTTAGCATTCACTTTCCGCAACCATTCATGCACCTGGGTGTGCTTAACTATAGGTGCACCTACTTTCACCTATAAGTGCATGTAATTTTGCCTTGTTAACATTCATTGATCTGAGTTCAGCGGGTAGTAATACTCCTGAAAACCACTCGCAAACATTCATACACCTAGATGCAACTACTTATACCTATGTGTGCAACTACTTAGAACTATAAGTGCAACTAAGTATTGATGCTCAGTGTAAATTTTTACTTGCACCTATAATACATTTTACATGCACTTGTAATACATTTTACTTGCACTTCGATGTTAATTATTTACGAAAATGCCACCGCGTTTTTTTAAAAAAATCAGTGTTTCTCATCCATTAGATCTGGACACGTGGACAAACAGAATCCATTCTTATTTCGCGCTTGGGCGAGCCGTTCGCACCCGAGTGCAAGTATATATATATATATATATATATATATATATATATATATATATATATATATATATATATATATATATATATATATATATATATATATATATATATATATATATATATGTTCTATACTTTCTCAGTCTTTTTTGTCTAAAGAATCAATGCTTCTACCACCGCAGTTCGATACTATGACTACCCATTCGGAATTACTAATTTTCAGTTGAAGGGTTTTTATTATACTGTATAAGTGTCGAGTTGGCAATTGACTTATTTGAACTTGCGCACAAAAGGCGAAATTTCTTGTTCAAGGGATCCTCACACCTAGCTCGATATGAATATGGAAGGATAAATTACGGTGACTCAGCGGTTATTTAGGTGGGAGAACCAATTCTTGGTATCCACAAGAGCCAACCACATAAGGTGAAACTATAGTACTATGCTACCCATTGAATCTGCCATTCAGAAAACAATTGACTTCCTGTGTGTGGGCTTTATTTTTTTGAACTGATTGAAGTAAGAAATAAGTAGAGCCGTCAAAACGGGCTTAGCCCGCCGGGCCAATCTATGTCTTGAATTTTATGGTCCGTATTTTGGTAGGCTTTTTAGCCCGGCCCTACCAAAATGACAGGCTTTGATGGGGCGGGCTTGGCGGCCCACCTAGTATGTATACATTCTTAATATTAGTGTGTGTGTGTATATATATATATATATATATATATATATATATATATATATATATATATATATAATTTTATATAATTATATATAAAAATATATGTTTAATTTATTTATTTATATTGAAAAAATGTATTTGTAATCAATACATTGTATAAATTACTTATTACTATACTAGTTATTATTGTGTTCAACAAATTACAAATACATTAATGTATATTTAAACTATTCAAATTATTTTAATATACACTTATTAACTTTTTCATATTAATTCCTATTTAAATTTAAAACTTTTTAACCGCGGGCCTAGGGCGGGGCAGGATAGACCGACTTATTATCGGCTCGTATTTTGGCGAGCTTTAGTAGGCCCGAGCCACGCGAGTCCATTTCGACAGCTCTAGAAATGAGCTATAACTAAAAACTTCATAACATATAAAAACTACAACGAATGAAGTTACGTAAAATTATTTGAAATCTTAACCTTTTTTTTTTATTAACTTTCAGCCCAACCTTAATCATTTTAGGTGGACGGATGAGATTAGTTTGCACATTTTAACATGACTACTAGTGTTCGCTGATCCTACCCATATATATAGGGGAGAGTTCAGGTACGGTGAGAGCATGTTTTCATGTAAAAAGTGAGATCAAATTCCACTTTTAGTCCTCGACTATTGTGACACTACTACATTTAGTCATATTCTTTTAATTATACCATATTACGTCCCTGATTTTGAGCAAATTCCACTTTTAGTCATCGACTATTGTGGCATCGACATATTTAGTCATTTTCTTTTATTTTTTTCATATTACATCCCTGACTTTGAGCAAATTCTGCTTTTAGTCATTGACTAGTGTGGCATTGCCACATTTAGTGCTTTTCTTTTAATTTTGCCATATTACATCTTGACAGCAATGTACTCATAAAGAAAAATTGGGAACAAAGAACAATTGGAAAATTTGGGTTAGGAAATTGAAAATTTAGTATATATATTTAGGTAAATTCGTAAATCTAAAAAAGTTAGTTATAAATTTATATATATATATATATATATATATATATATATATATATATATATATATATATATATATGTGGAAGGGATCAAGTGCATTTAAGGCTTCCTGTGTGGTTGTGCGGGTGGATGCACGTTAAGCATTAATCTGACGCGCTTAAAGTACACAACACACGCACATTAAGCACACAAACAAACCACCTTCAGAACACAATCTCACGCATGTTAAGCACAAGCCTCACACATGTTAAGTACAAGTCTCACACATGTTAAGCACAAATCTTACGCATTTTAAACACAAAAACACACGCACCTTAAGTTTTAAAAACAACTCACATTAAGTACACACTCACGCACATTAAGTACAAAACACACGCACCTTAAGCACACGACTCACGCACATAAGCACAAAACTCACGCACATTAAGCATAAAACTCATGCACTTTAAAGTTTCAACAACAACTCACATTCAGTACACACTGACGCACATTAAGAACAAAACTCACGCACATTACGCACAAGACTCACGCACATTAAGTACAAAATTCACGCACATTAAACATTACACACTCACGCACATTAAGCACAAATCTCACGCACATTAAGCACAAGACTCACGCACATTAAGTACAAGACTCACGCACATTAATCACCCGCACAACCGCACAAGAAACACTTAAATGCACCTGAACCTGAACACACACACACACACACACACACACACGTATATATATATTAAAAATCATTCAATTTTCGGTTCGATTCAGTTTTTAACTTAACCGAAATGAAACCATTTTGTTTATAAAATATAAAACCAATCAGTTTTTAAAATAAACCAGAACCTAGCCCTTCAGTTCGGTTTCAGTTTGGTTCGGCTCGGTTCGGATAGCTTGAACTGAAATGCCTATCCGTACTTTCAGTGCACATTCCTGATCAAGAATCCTCTCTCAGTTTACCTAATGACACATAATTTGCAGTGAGTTTACATGGCTTTGTGGTGTTCTACTATCAAAACTTGTTACTATGTGTATTATGTTTCTGTTAAATTGTGAATTGAATGGATTGTATTAACTTAATAATGTGTCAGGAATTTTTCTTCTGTTATTTATCAATTCTAATGTGTTTGAAATATGAGTTATTATGTTTAATGATTTTTTCTTTGTTATTTGTCAATTCTAAAACGGTAAACTAATGGAATTTTGAAAGGAGGACTAATGGTGACAATCAAATGAAAGTTAGTGATATAATATGACAAAATTAAAAGAATAAGACTAAATGTATCAATGTCACAATAGTCGATAACTAAAAGAGAAATTTGCTCTAAAAAGTGAGAATTATTCCGATTCATCCAATTGGGTAGATTAACACTTGAGGATTGCTTTAAAAAAAAGGAAAAAAAAAAGAGTGTGGGTTAGTTTCATAAATATTACAATCTTAAAAGTTTGTAACAATTATAAAATTAACCATATACTTTTTTCTTTAACTTAAAATCTTTATGAGTCACTACGATCAATCCTCAATTTTTTACAAATGACCATTTCTCATTTGAACCCCCTCCCTTCTCTATCTCTCTCTCTCTCTCTCTCTCTATATATATATATATATATATATATATATATATATATATATATATATATATAACATAGTAATAGTAGCCAAATGGACATTTGTCCAAATGTAAATTACCACCATGCCCCTTCATACTCCTATCTATATAAGCGATTCATACCCCATTCATTAAAAGCCTTCCTTCCTCCAAACACTTCAAAGAAGAGCTTGCTTTTATTAGCAACTCCACAGCCGCTGCTTTCATATATATATGGTCACCTGATATATAATGGAAGGAGCATCGGCTCGACCTTCTTCGTCTAGGGCGACGGCGAGTGCAGTTCCTCCTTGCTCCTCGCCGCCGCAGGCTTCATCGCTGCCGGAGAACAACGACTTCCCCAAGAACGTCATTATTTTTATGGAGGCCCTAGAGAAGTTCACTCTTGAGCCTCTTGAGTGGGTGTTGAAGAATGTTGTCATGAAGCCTTGTTGCACTCTTTCCATCATTGGCATCTATCCCTTTCTCACTTTTCTGGGTAAGTTGTACATTTGGTTCGTCAAAAAGAATTTATGGAATTTAAATTTTATGAAATGTCGAATATTTTACTGGTTGAAGGGTAAGAAAGACATTAATGAAAATAATTAGTATAAAAACTAGTGTTGTAAAAATTGACTTAAGCTGTCTCTTAGGCGTTCCTAAACCTAGACGATTTTAGTTCTAGGTGTCTTTTAGTCGGTCAGTCGACTAGGAGACTAACTCGGTGTCTAATTCAACCGAGTTGGTGCCCAACTCGACTGAGTCTGTGTCCAACTCATTCAAGCTGTTTTTTTTTTTTTTTTTTTTTTTTTAATCCCTAATCGTTTTTTCAGCTGTCCTCTTCTATATTACTACAACCATGTACTCAACTAACAATCTAGTATATATGTAGTTTACTAGTTTGGAGATTATAACAGTCTAACAGCTCACAACCCACGGTCTTTTTTCTTTTCTTTTAATAATTACTAAACTATCTAGGCGCCCCCGGACGCTCAACTAGTGTGTCATAATATCAGAAGCATTTCGAAAAGGTTCCTATTCGTTACAGTCCTAGGGTCATATAGCAACATAATTATTGAGGAAATGAATCACAAGTGTACTAAATGGGTTGTTACTTGTTAGCTCATATTTGGGTTTCTCAACTCTAAAGACATTAGGCAATCTATTTTTTAATTTATCTTTTATGAAAAATTTAACAATATCTACATTAATTGTGACATGATCACTTTTATTTGAGAATCCTTTTATTTAATCTTACTTTAGAAATATGATACTCCGTACAACTTTAGTTAAAGATAAAGATTTCAAACTTTTTGAGGGAACATATCTCAAAAACATGGCCAAGTTTAGCACACCATAATTATTTAATTTGATCAATATAATAATTAACTATAATTTATTTTGAAATAATATAATACTTAAATCACAAATAATTAATGGATTTTTGTTTTTCTTATTTGTTTTCATTTTGTAGAGTCGGCTAAGACATCTTCCGAAATATGGAGTGTGAATTGTGAAGATTTACAACAAGGGGAGCGAAGAAGTGATCCAAAGCACCTCAAAGTCCAATTCTTGATGGATCTATGCCAATCCTATGGGGTAGGGCTTTCTAACTTTGAACGTTCATTCATTTTATGAATTTACACACTTTTCATAATTTTTAGAAAAAAATAAATAAATTATATACTGTAGATTCATAATTATAGAGCTATACTATAGATTCATAATTATAGAGCTATATATTCATAATTTTATAAATATATGTTCATAATTATAGAGCTATTTGTTTATATTCTCAATTGTTGAACTCTGTTTTCACAAATCACAAAACTATATGTTCATAATTGATAACTAGTTTAGAAATTATGAATCTACAGTACAGATATTATGAATATGCAGTATAGAAATTATGAATCTACTGTATAGAAATTATGAATCTACTGTATTTAAATTATGAATCTACGATTTTGAAATTGTGAATCTAAAGTATAGATTTTATGAATCTACAGTATAGAAATTATGGATCTACAGCATAGAAATTATAGATATGGAACCGTGCCCACCTTACAAAGTGGGCACAATTCCACAGCATAACTTTCCAAGAAGCTTTGCCTACTTCTCCTTCCAAATTGGACGGAGAAGCTTGCTGTGATTATGTATATTTGTTCACACAATTATGTATATTTGTTCATACAATTATGTATATTTGTTCATACAGTTATGTACATTTTTTATACAATTACGTACATTCTTTTTATACAATTATGTACATTCGAATCAGAAAATTTGTGTGTATTATGTTAAGAGTTGATGTGTATTATGTTAAAAGTTTATGTTTATTATGTATTATGTTAGATTATGTGTATTATCTTTTAAAAAGAGTATGTATATTTTGTTATATAATTATGTATATTCATGTATACAATTATGTGTATTCTAGTATAACATTATGTACATTTTTGAACATGAGTTTTTTTTTTTAAATAAAAATTAACTGCCATACACTAGGGCGGGAAATTTCAAAAAAATAAAATAAAAATTAAGACGACGTCGTTTTGCATCTGGACGCACAGTGCAACGCGCGCCGTGATGTAGGATATAAATTGCCCTTATTCTCCTTAAAATATGTTTTAAGATAACAACCATAATTAATTAATGATTTTTTTTTTTTTGGGTGTGTTCTATATATATAGGTTTCGTGTGAGATTAGAACTGAGATGTGCCATCCAGTGAGAAGCAGAATAATGGAGATAATCACAAGTCTCCAAGCAACATTGGTGGTCTTTGACAAGTAATATTATAAATTCATCTCTTTATATTAAAATTTATGATTATTTTATTTTCTTTTACTTTATTATTGATTTAATAACAGTTTACAATAATTAATATATTGTGTGAACAAGAGTTACTTATATTTTGTTTAAAAAGAAAATTGCTCATTGAATTCAAAATTAATTAAATTTAGTTTTAAACTATTGAAAAGGTGTTACTATTAATCCCAAATTAAGGCTAAAAAATGATTAGTATTATATTTGAGGATTAATAAGAGTGAAATTAGCTCTTGTGAATATATAGAGAGTAACAATTTGAGACTTTATTATGAATCAATAATATATTTATTTAATTAAGTTTTACACATAATTATTGCCTCTTATCAAAAGGTCACGTGTTCGGTTTCTGTTAACACCTTCTCGATCGAGTCTATTGCATAGAGTGTTCTTAGTACAATTTATATTTCCCATGTGATTTGCGAACTATTACATAGGAGCAATGTTGTAGAAGGCGCTAGGTGCTAGTTGGGCGTCTGGGGGACGCCTAACGCCTAGGCGGCCTAGTAATCCGAGTATATCATCTTCACTTTTTCCTCTCAGGGCTACGAGTTGTTAGACTGTTATAATCTCCCAACCTAATCAAGTGCATATGTTAGATGGTTAGTTGAGTAGATGGCTGGAGAAATATAGAAGAGGAATAACTGAGTAGGTAAAAAAAATCACTGGGCCGAGTTGAGCGCCAACTCGATCGAGTTACGCACCGACTTGATCGAGTTGGGTGCCCGACTCGTCCGCTTTAGGCTCTCAACTCGACCGAGTTAGGCGCTCAACTCGGCTGAATCGACGCCTAGAGTGCCTAGCCGGCCGGTTAATCGGTCAGCCGACTAGGACTGAAATTGCCTCGTCCTAAGGGCACCTAGCGCCTAGTCGGGGCCTAGGCCAATTTTTACAACACTGCATAGGAGTGGAGTTTACCTAAAACATACCATCGACTAGTGGATGTGGGTTCCCCTTGTCACCCAAACTTAAAGATCATAGAACACACACAAAAAAGAATTGAATTTCACTTATAATTAGTTGTTTGTATATAATTAATGTATATTTCTATGATTTAATTTAAAGGAAAAAAATGCAGGCATCATGACAGAAAGAACATAGAATACTATGCAGAGAAAGTCCCCTACAGCATCATAATCATGAATGAGAATGGAGAAGTGGACATGATAAAGGGAAGATCCCAAATTGATCCCATAAGTACAGCAGAGGAGTCTCCACATTCACTTCCACCAACTCCAAGAGTTAAGATTTCTAGAAAATGGAAGAAAGTTCTCTGTCCCATTAGGAGATTGAAGTTGGGAATCCTCCAAGGTTGTTGATCTTATCATAAAAAGCTGTCTTTCCTATACATATTTTACTTTTACTCTCTCGATTATGTAGTACTTTTACTCACAATGCTCGACTTTGTCACTTTTCTACTTAACTACTCAATTGACAAAAAAAGTTTTACTATTTGTTCTTCAACTTCAAAAACGTCTCTTTTGGAATTCAAAACATCCAAAATGTCCTCACTTTGTGAAAATTTCATCAAGACTTTTCATCCTTATTGCATATGAGGTCGTTTTGGGATTTTGAACCAAATGTAGAACGTTTGAAGTGGAAAAAATCAAAGTCGAGCAAGACAAGTAAAAATTCTACTATAATCGAGAAATCAAAAGCAAAATAAAGTTCTCTAAATAATGTGGGAGTGGCTATCCATCTACAACTTATGTTGGAAAAGCAGTGTTATAAGCAGCATGGAATGGCAGCATCATCAAGAGTCATTTTCTATTATTGTTGTTGTAATACTTTATTACATTGTGTTTGCTGAACCTTATGTATAATGCTTAAACTTTCACAATGTGAGAATAATTTATGTAAATCTTAATGCTTAGTTTTTCTTTTAATTTGTGATAAAATGGAGGTGTTTAATTTTTATAATAAATACTTAGATTTATGCAACAATATATACTAACCTAGCTAATTATCTCTCATTGTAATAAGTGTTGTTCGAACACCACTTATAATCTAATATTGATTTATGTATGAGTTATTGTAATAAAATATGAGATACTGGACGATAAGAATAATAATCACAAATGTAACACAAAACATAAATTGCAAGAAAGTAAATCAATAGCAGTGATACTTGAATTTGACTTGTATGTGTAACACGGAGGTCATCACTGTTAGTGATGTTAGTATTATTAGTATTATTGTTATATTAAATGTTGTAATTATTGTATAGGATTTAGTCTATAACTAATAGCCTATTATGTAGGCATAGTTTAGGACTCCTATTTCTGATGTAACTTTACTGTTGAGAATTCAATTCACAAACTTATCACTTCATCTGGTATCAGTTAGCGATAGGTACTCTCTCTCTCCCAAAATGTCGACTAATTCCACTGAGCACACTGTCACCGCCGCCACCACTGCTTCTCCGGCCACTCCGACGTCCCTATCGGCGGCACACCACTTTGTGTCGTTGAAACTGACGTCGAAGAATTTCCTCTTCTGGCGAACGCAGTTGATCCCCTTCCTCCGTGGCTAGGGGCTGCTAGGGTACGTTGACGGCGAACTGCTGTGTCCACCGGTGGTCCTCCCCACCACCAGCGACGATGGCTCCGGCGGAACAGCGTCCACGACATTGCCAAATCCGGCGTACGCCTCCTGGGTCCAGCAGGACCAGTCCATACTCTCCCTCCTTATCTCGTCTCTCTCCGAAGAGGTAATGCATCTCGCCGTCGGCCACAAGACATCCCACGCGGTTTGGCTCTCCGTGACAGCGGCGTTGGGCTCATCCACTCGCGCACGCTGCCTGACTCTCCTCGGGCAATTGCAAACTCTCCGGCAGGGTGACAGCTCGCCGGCGGACTACCTCGATCGGGCACAGTTGATTGTGGAGGACCTCAAACTGGCTGGCCGTCCAATGAGTCTAAACGAGCAGAACCTCTACGTGTCCAGAGGCCTCTGCCCGGAGTTCCGCGCCATGGTCGCCTCCCTTGCCGTCACGGGTACTCCGGTGACTATTCCTCAGCTGTCTGATTTACTCCAGGCCCAAGAGTTTATTTATGCCGATGATTTCCCGGCGAATAGTTCTCCCATGGCGATCGTCGCCACACGTGGCCATAGGCAGAACCACGATGGTGGCTACGGTCTCAGGCAGCACGGCGGCCAGAACCCCAGCGCGGGCTACGGATCGAGACAGCAAGGCGGCGAGAACCGCGGTCGCAACGGTGGTCGATGATGCGGTAGCCAAGGCCGTGGTCATGGTGGCAACCCCCGATGTCAGATATGCAGGTCTCACGGCCACACCGCAGTCTATTGTTTCAGACACTACACCTATCAGCCACCGGCCCAGCAAACATGGTGGTCGCCGGTGATGAAGCGGCAGTCGCAGGTGGTGATACGTGGTTTCCGGACACCGGGGCCTCGTCTCACGCTACTCCCGACGCCCCTATGATCACTCAGTCCGAGCCCTACGGTGGTGGCGATGTCTTACGGGTCGGCAACGGTACCGGTTTGGTAATTTCCTATGTAGTCCATACATCATTTCCTTCCACGTCTAGAAACCTACAATTGTCAAATATATTACATGTCCCTCAATTATCTGTACCGCTTTTATCTGTTAATCGATTTACACGTGATAATGGTGTGTTTTTTGAATTTCACCATGATTCTTTTATTGTGAAGGACTCAATTACCAAAGCTCCACTCCCACGCAATACCGTCATTTTGCCGGGGCCCTGCAGTATTTAACAATCACCCGACCGGATCTCTTTTATGCTTTGAACCGGTTGTGCCAATTCATGCATGCTCCTACCACTGAGCACTGGGGTCTCTTGAAACGTGTCCTTCGGTATGTCAAAGCCACTCTCACATATGATCTCCAAATCACGCCGTCAACCTCTACTGAAATCCATGCGTACTCTGATTCTGACTGGGCTGGCTGTCCAGTTGATTGCAAATCTACCAGTGTTATGCGGTCTTTCTTGACTCGAATTTGGTTTCTTGGGTATCTCGCAAACAGCGGACCATGGCCCGTTCATCCACAGAGACCGAGTACAAGGGGTTAGCCGACGTTGCTGCTGAGGTCACTTGGGTTGTATCTCTACTTCGAGAGCTGGCGCTGCATTCTGGGACTCCTGCAACACTAGGGTGCGATAACCTGGGGGCTACCTCCTTATGTGCTAATCCAGTTTTTCACGCCCGCACCAAACACGTAGAAATTGACTATCACCTTGTCCGGGACAAAGTAGCATCAGGTGATTTTTTGGTCAACTTTGTGTCTACCAAGGATCAACTTGCGGACATCTTCACAAAATCGTTACCCTCAGCACGGTTTGGAGCCCTACGGACCAAGCTCAATGTTGTCTCCTTACCACCTTGAT